GGCGTGTAGGGGGGAGGGGGGGTCAATTTTTGAACAAAATTTTGCGTACGTACTTTGTGCACGCCGCCTAAGTGTTTAGTAAAATTGTTAAATATAAGCCTAATCATTTAAATATATACCTAAAAAAGTATACTCATATAAAAATTAACAAAACATTCACATATACAGTCAACTATCGTTATAATATGCACATTATACTTTGCTAAAAGTTATTTGACACTTAATTTAGTTAAATTTAATCTAATTTGAGTTTTAAACGATTTAATTTATAAAACAATTAGTATAACATTACTATTAATACTAATCGTAATTATATGCAAACAAATTGCAAACCCTTTTAGTGTTGACGCAGGTGTTGAACGTAAGGGTCGTTTTGTGTGAACACGTGATTCGGAGTCATTGTTTTGCATTTTTATTGACTCATAAGTGCGCCAAACGTTTAGTCAGTGTTTGCGTTACTGTTATGAACACACGTTTTGTTTCATTAATTGTGTTGTTATTGTAATTGTTGTCCAAATATCTGCCAAAATGTGTTCAAAAGTGAATCAAATGTTGACTCAAATGAAGTGTGAATTATACAAATTGTCTGAATTGAAGAGTTTGTCGGAAAGTGTGCACAAAATGCAGTGCTTTTTGACACAAAATGATAGCGTTTTGTGCGAAGCGATTGACGCACAAAATGCCGTCATTTTCGCAATGAAGTGGAATTGTATTGACTTTATGCCCAAAACAAGGGTCCAAATGATGGCCAATACTCTCGACGAAAGCACTTCCAAAGCATTTGTCTGCCATTTCGGTGATTGCGGCAAAAGTTACGCTAAAAGCCACGAATTGGCGAAACACATGAAATCACACATCAATACAGTGTTTGTCTGCGATGTCGACGACTGCGACGAAGAGTTTGATTCAAAGCAACGATTATTACGACACAAACGCTCGCACCTGGAGTTTGAATGCTATGACTGCGACCAACGGTTCGCCGAAATGTCTGATTTGTATCGACACAGGAGTACCGCTCACGTGACCGACAATAATGGGCGCA